CAATAAAGAATTATTTCATGGTTCTTCGTTTAATACCTGGCATTGATACCAGAACAGAAGATCACAAAAAGAAGCGCTATTTTTTATTTCAGATTATTTTATTAGTGCAATGGGAATTTTTTTTTTTTTTTGAACGTTTTCATGTTATTTGTTACTGATAATGCTCCGGCAATGTCACGACGCTGTCGTTGGTTTATTTCAGCTTATAAAAGTAACTATCAGCTCTATTTGTTATGCACTGCAGGAGTTACTGATAATATGTAATTGCTAAAAACCTAATTGATTGTTCAAAACAATACTGCTACGAATTTTGTGTAATGCAACATGGAAAGTCGGAAGAGCAAAACTCTACCGGACAAATAAGACTACAAGGACGAGTCTTATTTAACATTGTAGTCAATGGCTATCTCGCTAAATTGGCGGGACATAGCCAAGGTGGCGATAGTTTTGAGAATTACTTTTGTCGCCAAATTTGGCGTAAAAGTATATGCCTTCCGGTAATATCGAGAAATGGAAGGTAGTAGCGATTTCTTGGCAACTTCGTGAAAATTAAAGACCGGAGAGGGCATCTGCTTTTAGTTTTAATTCAGAGTCGTTTGAAGATTATTGAGATAGCTCCGTGCGACTTTTGCTCTTTAGAGACGATTTGCATTGCGGTCTTCTTAAGGTTCTTAGCAGTTTGAAGTACCAACTACTGATTATGCGCTGTCATACTCAGAAGAGCTGTACGAGTATTTTTGTGGAAAGTTCTGGAACTGTAAAGTGTTTCTTTAAGTAAAAGAAATTTGATCAAGCTGTCATCGGTTCTGGGTGCATTCAACACGTTACGAAACCGTACGCACGTAACGATACATAATTACTGCTTTTAACAGAATGAAAAGCACGGTTTTCAGTGATAGGTTGTTTGGACAAATCTACATTAAAAACGACAGAAGAAGATAATCGCTTTCAGGAGGGGAAAATGGGGAGGGGAGAAGAGAAAAGGTTAATTTAAGATATATTGTCATATCAAGTTATGAACTGGTGTGCAGAAAAAAGTGCTTATATGAGGGGGAAACCTCCGTCAGTAGTGTAATACAATTATTTTTCAAGCAATATAATATATACGATAAAAAGTTTAGACCTGTGTAAGGTTATTATTTAAAATTAACCAGTTATTATGTTTTCAGTCTTTACTACAATTTCTCCTTTCCGTATTCCTTACCAGAATACGAATGAGTAGCCAATACCTAAACTGAGATTTTTATTTTATTTTTATTTATTTATTTATTTTTTTAATTTTAAGACTGAGCGCGTTCTTGTCGTGCACACTATGCATTAGATTCTTGCAAACTCTGATAGTTGTAACTATTCGGCTTTGCGTTATAGCGCTGCCAACATTTACGCTCCGGTAAAGTACTGAGTCAGCTTCTGGTAGTAATCTATTTAGTTACGTCCCCACGAGTTGTGCCGGATACTACTACTTACAAGAGTGCCTTTGTGATCTAAATTCTGTTTAAATGGAAAGGTTATTTAAACTTCTCATCACTTTGTCTTTGACATAGTTGTAACTCGCTTCACGTTTCTTAGAGGTTTTGGACTAATTAACATTAACTAATTAACATTAACAGATCAAGTGAATCCCAGCTACTTAAACTGGTAACAACATTAAAAAGTGATCTCTACTATGTTTCATTAACTTGAGGTAAATTCACGGGGTGAATTGTCAAGTAGTAACGGATTTTCTGCAAGCAGGTTCCTTACGTTTAAGTGATATTTAAATTACTGAAACTTAAAATAGAAATCTTCTCAAATGCTCTTTTGTGGTATGTAGTAGTTAGCATATCACCGATAATCTGAAAACACGAATTTAGTTCCCAAAGAGCACATACTGAATTTCTTAAAAAAATCTACTTCTAAAGCATTTAATATCTCTATAGTTCAATATTTATGACAAACTGAAATAAAGTAGCATAGCATTTCTGTAAAGTGTTTGAATGTAAAAGAAATAATTTCATGCTTGCGAACATGTAACATGAAATGAAGACAGACTCCCTACGCAGATTTTGAACATAAATAAAACAAATTAATGTTGTATATAATAGTAAATTCTATATGGAACTAAAACAAGCTGAAGTAACCAGCAAATTAAGAACAGCAATCTTAGACTGGAGCAGATTTCATGTAAAACATTTCTTACTACAAGAGTATATCCCTCCCTCTATTGCGAAAGTTTTTTCTCTGCAGTTTTTTTCTTTCGTTCTGAAAAAATAGGGTCGAAATTGATAGCTTTTCATATAAAATCTATGCTAGTTGAAGGTTTTTGTTCTAATTTTACAACTTATTTTGATGTTTGTACAAATTTAGAAGTAAATGAAAAAACCTACTAAGTAGGTTATATGAAACATTCTTCTTTGCTAAATGGAGAATATGAGGCAAGCTAAAAAGATGTAACTTGTTTTGAGATTTAAACAGAAGGTTAGGAAAGGTAATTTGTAAATATTTAAATACTAGAACAAATGATGCCGAAATTTAATCGTTTATAAATAGCTTGGGCAATAATGGTGCCTGTTCTATACTTGTATAAAAATTTAACGAATTAATACAAGTATTCATATCGTTTATACCGAAGATTTTACAATAATTTAGAAATGGTTACAAAATAAAATTTGTAACGCAATAACCTTGAGTTTCCCTGATTTGAGATTCACTTTGCAAGACTTGCAGATTTCTTTCCTTCTGATGAAAAGGGACCTGTATCTCTTTGTCCTCGAAATCGATTGAAATCTTAACTAAATCAAAGCCAAACTCAAACTTGTTGAGTACTGCAGATTTCTTTGCTCCTGACGAAGAGGGACTAATACTTGTTTGTCCTCGATATCGACTGAGACCTTGACTAAAGCTACACCAGACTCAAGGTTGTAGAGTTACTAATTTTATGTTTCACTTGGCGTGTTTCTGTTCTGTTTCCATGGTTATAATAATTTGGGTCATTCTGCATCATTCCTGAACTAGCCATATAAATAACTATCCTTCTCCATCTTTCACACTTCATTTTTTATCTCTTCAATAACACAGTATTACTGGTCATGTATCAATACTAAATGCTAAATAAGTAGAATTGTAGCTCCTAAAAGTTAATAATACATGTTATAAATTAAATGGCTTAGGTCTAGAAATGGTTAGGATGAGCCAGTTGCTTTCATTAAAAAATGGAAATAAAGTGAAAACGATTTTGCCTAAAACACTGGAGTACACTTGCAAAGTTTTTTTTTTTAATTTTTTTTATTTTTTTATATATATATATAATCAGTTATTTTATGTTTGGAATATTTACTATCACTTCTTTCTTTCGGTTTTCTCACCAGAGTGTAAATGAGTTCGCTGGTATATATACCAGCAAACCAGTATATATACCAGCGAGAGTTTGAGATTTTTAAGAGAGTGTGTAGATAAGATGATATGAGTTCCTATCTTCGGCACTGCATTATATTTGCGGGTAGTTAAATTCGCGTTAACTTGCTCTCTGTAGATTTTGGCTATCAGTTATTTAAATTTAGCTTTAATATTTGAATTACTACTTTCACTTTCTCGACATAAGTGATGGCGAATGTGTAAGGACCAAAAGTGCCTTCTGTTTATTTTATTGAGTTTAAAATGAAGGGTGTTTTACACCCTTCGCAAGTTTCTGTTCTTATTTTTAGACTTAACGATAAGTCTATTAAAATGTCTACCAAAAGTTTGTTCACAGTTTCCAGTAGTGAAAGACTTAAAACCTTGTACACTTATCAAGAATTCTGACGTTTAATATTATTTGCTTCCTTGCGATACACCAAGAATGCTTACAAAAACAGAAAACTGAGTTGAAAGAAAACTACAATTTAAATTAAACAATATTATATTCACCGCTTTACATTAGTTTCGCAGTTTAGAAGAAGTAATAATATAAAAAGGATCAACGAACAGAGTCCTCAGAAAAGCTAGAATTTGTGACATCATTTAACTACTGGCAGAATTGAAGTACTATTGAACAATTACCAGGTGATACTAAGGATAGGATCTGCTGAGTATGTGATCAGAGGTCTCACCATCAAATTCTTTTTGCTTTTAGGGTATTGTCTGCTCATCTATTTGTGTCTGTATAGAATTGTAAAGTCATTAGGTATTTTTGAAGCAGGAAGCTGAAGAAAGGTGCAATACTGTTGCCGGGACTCGAGCCCTGGACCTCTCGAATACGAGCCGAGTGTGCTATCTTTACACCACGAAGGCATGCAGAAAGGAGGGAGAAAATACATTATACACTTATGAATTTAAATCCCTTAGCTCTTTCAGGTACTGCTTTCTTCTTTATTCCTCAAATTCCAACTCTCCTATTGTTTTAAGAAATCCAAATTTATGAGATTCCACTAAGTTTGTAGAAACATTAGGTAATTTTTGGAAGCAGGCAAAATGAAAAATGAGCAACACCTTCGCCGAGAATCGAACCGCGGACCTCTGGAATACGCGCCCAGCGTGCAGACCACCACACCACGAAGGCATGCCAAGAAGGCGGGAGAAATACCTTATAAGTTAACTTGAATGTGAGTTTAGTGGCAGTCTAGGATAACAACTTTGCATCCGAAAGGAAAACACGCAGGAGAAGTGAATTAATCTGTCTACAGCTACTTGTATGTAAAGAATGGAGTCATATAGATTCTTTTTTAGTTAGAGTGTGGCAAGCAATGAAGAATAAGAACAGCACTTTGTGAATTATAACACTCTACGTATATTTGGCTTAAACTTCGGAAGGAAGAGATGTAAATTCATTTTAAGAAAACTGCATAATTTCCTCTCTCAGATACTAAGTATTTCAAGAGGAGATTGAAATAAAATATAATGAGATACTAAGTGTTATGATTTATGAATGCTTGCTTCATAGAATACTTTTTGAGTGTTTTCTGGAGGACACAGCTTTTGAAAGCTGGAAATTAAGTGCGTATTACTAAATATATAACAAGAAATGTATTTATAGAAACATTGGATACAGTAAATTATAAAGTTTTTATTTTCCAAACATTTTTTTTTCGAACAGTAGGATTTTCCACAATACAAATATTTTCACAATATACATTTTTAAATCTTAGATCACATTCAAGCATCGATGTCACTCTTTTAAAGAAATGATCTCTGATACATTTCAGCTGGCAACAATTCAGAGATTACCATTCATTTATACAATAGAATAGGAAGAATAATTTTTCGGTGAAGTTCATAGTAATATTTTCAGCACCTTTTCGCAAGTTGTATATATCATGACCAATGTAGTGTTATAAAAATTTTATAGTAAGTTTAATTAAGGTTTCCTACATTTTTCCCATTTAAAAATTTAAAAATCGAAAGACGTAAACCAAAAGTAACTTTAAAAATAAATTAGGAAATAGAGGAAGCATGTGGAGAATTCAAAAGCCTAATGCAGATGCACAAAAACATCTATTAGAACAGTGATTACCAAAGTATGAGTTTCGAACCAGCAAATGTTTCTAAAGACAACAAATCTATAATATTAATCAAATAATAATAATTATTAAACTGTTATAATTATACATATTGATTTATAATTATTAATTAATTATTACTAATTATGTGCGTTCATCTATTTTTACATCTTCAGTTCACAATTTTCTTCTAGGCGTCTTCTTTGGAGGTTCTCTTTTTCAGATGAACTCAATGTAAGTGGGTCACGATGATAAAACGTTTGGAAAGCACTGCATTAGAAGAATATTTCATTACATTTTTATGAATATTAACGATGTGTTTCAATCAAATTATCTTTCTCTGTTTTTAGTTAACCTGCAAATTCAGTATACGTTTATCTTTGACTGAACATTATCTGTATCATATTTATAACTGCTTTCATCAAAATTACTTTCTTACAAAATATTAAAATATTTCTCAAGTATTAGGTAGTTCTTATAATGTAACAGCGTCCTGGTACTTATTCACATGTTAGTAAATGCATTGCATATTTAAAAATCTACAAATTACAGAAGCGGAACGTAACTTTGCGCGAAAATGCAATAATGCCAATATTGCATCTTCTAGTCCACATCCTAATCGTGATAGCTTTAAAGACAAATCATAGTTTATGTTCAGGTTCCTTATAAAAAGTCAAGGAGCACGATTTTTCAGTCTTTGGTAAATCGCCAAAAATTGGAAAAGATAATTACCTTAAATGTGTAATTGTTATTTTAATGACATGATATTATTTAACATGACTATAACTCCAAAATTCCTGTAAGATATACAATATATTCAATGTATGATTTTTTTTAATTATGCGTATATGATTACTGTCAAATTTGAAATCCTGTCTGTTGCATTCCATTCATATCAATGGTTTATATATGTTCTCTCTTCTCAAAATATTTAACTGAGGTGATTTAATATAAAATATGCTTTTACACTTTCCCTTTGGTACTTATCTAAAAGGTCCAAAACTGCAACATTTACAGTAATTCATTGCATGGAAGATCGAACTAAAGCAAAATCTATGCAAATAATTCTGCTTGCGTAATAATGTCATAATCGGAAAAAGTATAAATTATGCGAAGTCTGAAGTAGAAGAATGTAGCAGATTCCTTGATTCTTCAATTGAAAATGAATCTCCACATTCAAAGGATGAAAGTGAAAGGGCATTTATAACCCTTCTTTAATATTTAGCCAAGCAGCAATTATGGCCTTTTTATGAAACACAAACAACAGGTACTAATGAATATTCTCTCTCTTTCTACAAGGCTTGAAATTTAATGGACGAATTCTTGGAGTCGGGAACGTCCAAACAGTCGCTACGCGGTAACGGTGGATAGCTGTTGTAGCTGCTCATGTCTCTCGTGGTGCCCAGACATTGAGTAGTGGACTGGGCTGCTGGCGATACCGTCTGATGGTGACTGGCAGTCATTGGATGATGTTGATACGTGTGCGCTAGAGTTGGGTTGTAGTAATCATAGTGGAAAGAATAAGGACTATTCTGGAGGTAGCCATTGGTATTATAAACTGGGCAATTGAACTGATACGACGAGGAATCCACCTTTTGCATACAGCTGTTTGCACTGGAGGTGCTAGGCATTAACAGTGAGTCGGGTGTCGTAGGGCTGTATTCGCTACCCCTCGGAGGTAGGGGTGTAAGTGTAGCAGTAGGGCTAGACCCAGATTCTCCAGACGACGGGCTAGCATGAGACTGTGTTGTGGAAGGACTACTGCAGGGCGCTGTTTGCTGGGCAGGAGGACTTTTCGCTTGCTTCTTGGGGGTGCGATTCTTATTTGAACCATTCTGAGACTGCTGGCGGCACTTAGCTCTGCGATTCTTGAACCATACCTAAAATTAAAATGCATGCATTCAGTTATGTGTTTTAAGAAATCTAAAATACATAGAAAATAACAATAATAATAATAGAACTAGCCGTGAGATATTGTTCTGCTCTCTTAGATATTCATGAATATATTATTAAAATTATTATTTAAATTCGAGAAACTTGAAGTAGCTCTGCATATTAAATTCTGCGTTTTCTTCATAATTCAGACAATTCAGTATGCGACATGTGTGTGTGTAAATTAGTAAAAAGTAGAAAAAGGTATTAAAAATCGAGTGACCTAGTAGGTCAAAAATAGCGCCTTTAGCTGCTGACTGTTAAAACTAATTTTAATGAGAAAGTAGGTTTAAAACTTAGCAAAGGTCGTAAAAACGTTTGTGTATCCTATCAAATTCCTGAATATCCATGTAAAATAGTGACATACATATATACATTTTTAATATTGCCGATTGCAATAAAAGAAGAATGTGGACAACTAGATATTACAGATACATGATTTCAACCTTCTACGCCTAATCGTTTTGGAGTTTTGAGTTATGCGAGATACATACGTACGTATAGAAAAAAATCGCGAAACGAACGTCGCGAAAAATCCTTTTGAACCCATTTTACAATCCGTTTTAGTCCTTTCAGCAATTCAAAATCTTCATCATAAATTCCAAACTATAACTATTTAACTTAATAACCTTCTTTAAAAATAATTTAAATATCTTAATTCGTTACTTAATTCTATCAAACATGATTATGAAAAATTAAATGTTTTGATGTGATGAAATTTGAATTACATATTTTCACGTTAACAAAACAACATTGCATGTTAAAATTTCAGTATAGAACTGCACGTACGGACATCGCTAAAAAAAATAGTCAAAATGCATTCGAGAATAGTCAAAATGAATATATTTGTTGAAACCTGAAACCCGAAATTTTTCGCGATTACAATATTTCGTACAGTGTTTTCGAGATTTTAAAAAAAAAATATATATATATATATAAATATTTTTTAGGATTAAATCATTTTTAGAATTGTATATTTATTCATGAATTTGATACTTGCACTTGATTTGCATATGTTCTCCGAATTTAAAAGATATTGTAGATTAGTTCGCAACAACATTAATAATTTATTTGTTTGCATTAAATTTAATTTAAATTAACTTTAAGTTTGCTTTTTACGAATAGAGAATGTTTGTTAAATTCAAATTTCATTCCTTGCAGCAATGGCTCAAGAGAATTATTTAAAATTAAATTTAACTTTTCTTTATTCTTTTGAAGCAATTTTTTTAAGATTAAATTTAACTTTATCTTTTGAAGTATATATATATATTTATATATTTAACAGATTCAATAAATATAACTCATAGATCTTTGGATTTATTTCGTCATTTTTGTGAGTTTAAAGGTAAGTTTTTAATTGTTTTATTATACGTTTACCTAATATGATATTAATATAAAAAATACTTTCTCAGATGGCTTTCATCGCATTATTTATTGCTTTGTTAAAGTCATACTGTACTGCACATGTTACAGCAGTCTTATACTCAAAATTTTAACGTTCTCAGGCTCTCGTTTTTAAGTTAATATGAAATACATATATACGTACGTACAGACCTCACGAAATATCTCTTCTGAATCCATTTTAAATCCCTTTTACAATCCATTTTGATCCTTTATTCTGTCCGTACGGTACAGATGTCACGCATAAATATCGTTCCAATAGATTCGAGAGTGTTCAAAATGAATATTTTTGTTGAAATACGATACCTGAAATTTTTCTCGATTACAATACTTCCTTTACTTCGTACAAGGAAAAAATTATGTAAAAATCGTAATTTTAATATTTATAAATGCAAAGTAATAAATATTATTCATAATAAAGACAAAACTGGATATAATAAAGAAAAAGAAACTTTCGTTTTAAAAAAAAATTCAGCAGTCTGAAAATGTGTACAAACACAAAATCCTCAAACGCAAAATCTTTGGTCTGTTTTGGAGGCGGAAAAGGAGAAAAAATTCAACTTTTTGATTAGATATGCTTACCTGGACACGAGACTCCGGAAGGCGTATTTGGTTTGCGACTTCTTCTCTCATGAAGATGTCCGGGTACCGGGTCTTTTGAAAGAGAGCCTCTAGGATGTCCAGCTGCGCTCTGCTGAAAGTTGTTCTTTCTCGACGCTGCTTCCGAGCTCCTTGGGGATTGGCTAAAAGAATAAGATAGCTATCTTAGAATCTTTGTGGTCAAACTCAATGCAAAGTTTAAAAACATATAAATATAATTATAAACTTTCCAGTTATTTTATTTGCCACAAAATTTATGTGAAATAACAACACCAGTGAATTTTTTAAGCTGTTTTTTCTGTAAAAGTTCTATAGTACATGATCACTATAGTGTTCAAATTTAGGAGAACCTACATGTACAAACTTTTCGCATGGCATTTCAAAATAAACGTATTGCTGACATTGATAAAATGATAAATAGCAACAACGGAGATCTTGCTTTCCAGTCAAGCAATTAAAAAATTGTCATGCATGAATTACATTAAATATTTTAAAACATGATATTGAGATGAGGAGTTAAAAGTCGCGTATTTCCTGCTGTCATGTGAGAAATACAAGATGTGGACGGAAGGGACAGGAAGAAACGGAATAATTGAAACTAAATTCTCAAAATCAGAGACAGGGTACCCATTCCATTATACGGAAAGAAGCTTGTATTGCTGAGTAAAAAAGATAGAATCATATGAGACAGGTGCAGTTTTGAACTATGCGAAATAATATATGAAGTAAAAATAAAAGTTGAATGGGATAAACGAGTTACAAATCTATTGAAAAAATGAGAAACCGAATATTTTATTTATAAAACAAGGATCCTCATTTAAGAAGGTATTGCATTGTGCTGCCATCTATCTTTGACAAAATGTATGAAAAGATTTCCTCAGTAAAGTGGGAAAATAAGTTAAGGAATAAATGTTAGGTAATGCTTTCCACAATTCTTGGGATAACATTTTCCAAAACTTTTCCCTCGTTAGAGAAATATCAGGCCCTACACTCTATACATAAGGGGATATTCAAGTAACATACTTATATATGATCATGTTTTATTGGTAAATTATTAACAGGAATGCATTTTGAATATCACGTTAAGTTAATGCTGTAGACGTAAGTTAATGCTGTAGGCGTAAGTTAATGCTGTTATATTGTACATTAACAATGCATTTTTCCCCTTTTCCTCGTATGCATAACTGAACGGGTACTAACGTATTAGGCCAAAATCTTATGAGTTGATAGAGTAATGAAAAAGTAGTGCGCTTGAACTTTTCCATGTTGCATTCATAGTTTGAAGAATGGAGAACAGTACAAAGTATGCTTTATATTCAAGCATACTGAAAAAAACCATGAAAATATCTAAGTACGGATACGTGCTCGTGTTCATATGCAGCAAGATGATCCTGGGCTTAGATCAATAGAGTTTGTAAAAAAGGTTAAAAACATTTCTCCTCGTAATTTACTCATGGTTTCTTTTGATGTAAAATCATTATTCACCAATGTCCCAGTGGAGGGTGCATTAAGATGTCTAGAAACCAGACTTCGCGAAATTTCATTCTCTTGCATCGAAATTGATGAGCTAATTTTCTCTCACTCAACTCTGTTTGAAAAACAAACACATTTTGTTTCCAAAATAAATATTACAAGCAAACTGAGGGATTAGCCATGGGAAGCCCCCTCAGTCCCATCCTGGCTGATATCTACATGCATTATTATGAATCAAAAATGTTTGAAACTTTAAACTTCCCGGCATGGTTCCGCTACGTAGACGATACTTTTTACCCTGTTTGAAGGTAAATAAGATGATTTAAATAGAGTTCTTTCAACAATGAATTCTATTGATCCTGCTATTCAGTTCACTTTTGAACTTGAGACTTGCAATTCTCTTCCGTTTCTCGACATTCTGGTCACACGTAACACATCCAACTTCAGTACTACAGTTTACCGTAAACCTTCATCGGTTTGCCTTCCACCACACTTTAAATCATGTCATCCGACTAAATAAAGTTAGCTTCATTTTATTCCTATGTTTTCCGTGCTCTTCAAGTTTGCTCCTCCAAACTACGCCCTTGATGAAGAACTAAATTATTTAAAAGCAATAGCTATTGACAGGGGCTTTTCACCCAACATTATTAATCAAGCAGTTAAAAAATTCTCATCTCAACACACTAAAAGCCCACTCTTATTTTAGGAGATTATAAAAATTCTGTTGTCATTCCCTTTTTCCATCAATTAGCTATAAAGTTGCACATATTTTGCAGAAATTTAACTTTCGGGTTGTTTACTCTCCCATCATAAAATTCCAACTTCTATACTCAAGGACCCCATTCCGGATATGAATTCCTGGGGTATTTATAGGATTCCTTGCCAGTGCGGTTTAATTTACATTGGCCAAACTAAGAGAGCCTTAAAATTTCGCGTCAAAGAACATGAGGCATATGTTAGAAAAAAGGAAACACAGAAGTCTTCTGTTGCTCAACATTGTTGGTCCGAAAATCACACTTTCAATTTTTCTGCTGCTAAAATTATTCAAAAAACATCTTCCATTGGAGAACTGGATTTTCTAGAGGCATTTCACATTCATAAAAATCTTTCTGTTCTAGGTTAACGATCCTAATTCCAATCCAAATTTGCCTTCGGCTTTTAGAGAAATTATGTTTTAGTTCTGGTTTCGCCAACAGATGGCGCCACTTGCTTATTCTTGTCCAGGCTTTCTTATCTTATCTAAACATTATTTCCTATCTTGTTCATTTGCGGTTTTGCAGCTGAAGATGATGGTTCGGTAAAACCATCGAAACTAGTCCTGTGAAAATTTTGTGAATTAACGCTGATTTTTGTTGTTTGACTTCTGAATCAGGATCCTGGGCTTATTTGGCGCTATACAATGTTATGAATATTTTCTCTCAGTGATTATTTTGCAACTTACATACCGTTTATTCCTTTAACTATCCAGTTAAACTATACATGTAGTTAAAAAAATCATGAATTATATGTGCATATGCTATTTTATATTCATGAATAATACATAATATTATGTTTTTATATATACATTTATAAGTAACAATATTATTAGCCCAAAGGTGCGTAAAAACCCAGAAGGGCTATTTGTCTTGAAACGGCATTTTGCATCTAATCGCTATAAATGCCAGTATCATTTTTCAAATTGTTGCTACTAAATACTATGCCTCTGTATTATATTTAAACAAATAATTAATGAAGAATCTGCACGAATGTATGTATATTTCTCGCATTGGGAAAAAACAGGATGCCTAGAGCCATCACATTCTGAGTAACGTAGTCCTCCACCAGAATATGAGCACCTGGGAGCCCGAAATTTAAATTTCGAATTTATTTTATTGTCTATTTAATATTTTTCAAACTTTAAGGAATTTTTTCATTAAGGTATGGGCAAATGAAAAAAACACCTCCTTGAGCATAATATAAAATCAGAAAGCTTTCAGATTTCTTTTAATTTTCTTTATATATATATTTACTTATTTTACTATACAATCGTATATATATTTATTTATTTTACTATACAATCGTGTTACCGAATGTTCTGATTCAGTACGCCTATTTTCAGTTGACTGAAATTAAATCAACGTATTCGGGAACACGATTGTACAGTTAAGAAAAAGATTATTTACAAAAGAGAAAGTCGCGGAGTATTTTGATTTACTGAAATATAATTTCAAAATGATAATTTTGTTTTCATAAAAGACTACTTTTTAAAATTACATTATGCTTTGCATTTTGCTTGTAAATCAAACCTTCAAACAAACAGATATTACAAATAACTATGAAATAGATATGAAATAGATAACAAAAATTTCAAATTTGTGTTTCTAGATGCCCATATTCGGATAGAGGACTACATTATTCAAAATTTGATGTCTCTAGGTACCGTTGTTTTTTCGTTGTGCGAAAAACATAGATACATTCATGCAGATTTTTCATTATTTAATTTCTTTAAATATAATACAGGGGCTCTAATATTTGATAGCAACAATTTTAAAAGTGAACTGATGCAAAATGCCAAAACGAAATTAATAGCCCTTCTCTGCAAATTGCCTCTTTGGGCTAAAAAAGTAATAATGATAATAAGAGACTAATAACCAAGCTCCTAATTTAAGCGAGCTTCACCACTGACTGGACTCTTAAAGACCATGTTGAATACTGGGATGGCAGCATCTTTGTATTTTCCCAATGTGTAATATGAATCGAAGCAGTTTCCCTTAGAAAGTTCTCCGCGAAACAACCCTTCACTTAGGCAGATAACTCTTGTGCGCTTTGAAATATTTAAGCGACCTTAAATAATGAGATGAGACATTTGTAAAAGAAGACAGAATCATAAATTTTGAAAAATTTAATTTAATTAAGTTTAAAATCAAAACAATGCTAAATTTTTGAATGAAGAACAGAGCTCGGATTATAAGGTACTTCTCCCACTTTCCTAGCGTGCCTTCGTGGTTATGCATGCTTGGCCGGTATTCCAGAGGTCCGCGGTTCGATTCCCGGCGAATGCGTTTGTTAATTTTTCATCTCCCCTGCTGTTTCAATTAATTCTAATGTCTCTACAGGATTTCTATAATACTGCGGATTTGAATTGCTAATTTATGTATTTACTAAGTGTCTATACAAATGCAAAAACGAATCTTAGTTCTGCAACTGTTTCTGCAATAATCTAGCCGCGTGAAATTATTCCGGTTTTCGACTTGCACTTTCATGTGTGTTTCAATCTATATTTGTATTTTGAGATTCATTCTAGAATGTTAAATCCACGAAGGCATCCCTTCCCTTGAGCAGATAGCCCTCGGCCATAGTTAAATAAACCAAATCAGTGTCTACAAAGAGAAAAAAAAATAGTACCGCTAGTTAAATGGCGGTACATCAGAAATGAAGAAAATAAATATACTGACAATTCCTTAATATTTACTTACTGTGAGAGGAAAATTATTCTTAGTAAAGTTTTGTTTCAAACTTTTTCTCAAATATACTTTATTTCTAAAACGCTTGATAGAAATACGTCTTTAATTACGAAATCTACTTAATATAATTAGTTTTTATCAATAATTTAAATAAAAAGAGGATTAAGTATGTTTCATAACTGTAGCATGCATTTCTAACATGCGTTTAGAACCATTAACTGTTAATT